CAAATTAAATATCATTTAATAAAATAGATATAAACCATCATACAATGATTCAAATAGTGATAGTAATTACATCAAATGAATATCATCAAATAGAAATATCATTGTTGTTTATTCTTTTTCATTAAAACATTATTATTATTTTGAATCTTCTTATTATTTTGTTATTTTATTTTTTGTTTTTATTATAATTGTTTTATATTATAATATAACTATAATGAATACTATTTGATTATGATTTTAATTATTGAATAAATCTGAAACATGTTAAAAGTCAACAATGAATATTCTACATTCTCACTTTTCTTTGTCATTTCATATTTAAGTCATCTGATTTGATGAACAAAATGATTTCATAGTAAGTCACAAGAAAGAGTTAGTTCAATGAAATCCCTCCAGAAACACTAGGAGTGTCCAGAAGAAGATAAAAGACATGTCTTGTTAGAGATATTTGATGAATATTAGAGTATTAGAAATTGGTGTAATTTTTATAAAGATCAGTTAATGATCGATTCCTCCTATTATTGTATGTAAGAAATGATCACCTGACATGCAATGATATGAGGTGTCGATGTTATACAAGAATCTTTGTAGATTTATTTCAAACCAATTTCATCTGTATTGTCTGAAGTCATTGAGAAGAATGTAATGAGAAATGGACAAATGATGAGTTCAATAAGAACATTTATCAGAAAAAGAAAGAGAATTAATTAAAAGGAATACAAGAGAGAAAATAAGGATAATTGAAATAAGATAAGTGTTTAAAAATGGGTAATAGTTTTAATAAAATAAAATAAAGAATAAAAGAAGAAAATAATTAATGAAATAATAAATCAAAAGAAGAAATAATGATAAAAGAATGATAAGATGTTAAATAAGAAAATAGTGATGATTAATAACAAATCAAATAATAACAAATCTCTTTATTCATATTAAAATAAATGAAAAGAAAAGAAGAAATATCAATAAGGGGCAAAATATTTTGCATCAATAAAATAATAGTTTTTATTATTTTCCTCCTAAAAAAATAAAAAATAAAAAAGTAAATTAAATACTCATTCTATAATCATTTATATTTCTTTATATTTTATATCATTTTATGGTAAATTGTTCTGAATTATAAGTGAAACAGAAAAGATATTTGATTCAATGTAAGTATACATTTTTATTATTATGTTATTATTATGTTATTTATGTATTTTATTTTTATATATTTATATATTTTATTATTATATTTATTTTTATTATTATATTGTATTATATATATCATCATTTTATCTATATATTTTATATTTATTATATTTTATTAATTTGATATTCTTATTATTTATATTTTATTTTATATATTATTATATTTTTATTTATATATATTTTCTTATATATTAATATATTTCTTTATTTTATTTTTATTTTGATTATATTTTTATATTTTATATCAATTTTCTTTTTATATTTATTATTATTTTATTTATATTATATTGATTTTATTTATTATTTTATTTATATATTTTATTTATTATTATATCATTTCTCTTATTATTTCTTTATTATTTATTATTATTTATTTATTTTTTATATCTTCTATCTATATTATATGAAATTATTATTTATTATTTATTACATATTATATAATAATCATATAATATTTATATTTGATTATATATTATCTTTTTCTTCTTTTCTCTTCTTTTTTATATTATTTCTTTTTTTATTTGAATATATTTGTTTTTGTATTCTTGTATTTATTTTATTTCTTATTTTTTGTGTTTATTTTATTCTTATTTATCATATTTATCATTTATATTATGTTATATTTGATTTTATT